CATGAGGCACAGAAGGGTATTATATTCATTCATTCAACAAAGATTAAAGAAATGCCTGCTTTATGCCAGGCATTGGGCTACATGCTAGGGTACAATATGGCTAAGAAGAGGCTCCTTGTCCTCATGGATATTATATTCTAGTAAATGAGACATGAATTAAATTGAACAGTCATACAAATGAGCATAAAAATTATGACTTCAGTTAATTTGTACTAAACTATGATTGCTATGAAAGCCTTTCAGGAAGTTGATCTAGTGTGGGAGGTCAAGGGAAGTCTTTTCCTGAAAGATATTTGAGTTGAGCTCTGAAAAGTTAGTAAGTGTTAGTTAGATGATGGAAGATGTAGCAATATGTGCAAATGTCCAGTGGTGGGACAATCAGGACAAATATTAAGGAATGAAAGATAACTATTGGTGTGCATTGTGGATTGGGGCTTATGTTGGTACATGAGATTTTTTAAGGGGCCCATTAAGACTTGCAATTATCCTCTTAATCACTAGATGGCAGACACACATTAAGAAGGCAAAAGCTGGAAATTTAAATTCAAGGGGGATTATAATAGTAAGGTGGGGGAAATCAAAGATTCAGCAGGGAAGTATGGGAGATGAGAATTTAGTAGGGGCGGGTAGCCATGGGATAGCCTCTGGACTTACAGGTCCTGACAATGAAGAGCAATAGAAAGCCATTTAACCAACAAATATTTATTGAGAACCTACTGAAAGCTGCTACTGTGTATTCCCTGAAAGTTAGTAGCTGTACACCTCATTTTTCTTTCGGTTCTTAGTATATTTTCACTTCAACATCCATTAAGCACTTATTACCTGCATACTACTGCCTTCCATGCTGTGAAGCATAACAAAAGAAATGAAAAAGATGTTTCCTTTACTCAAGAAAAAATATAGGGTGAAATGTCAAAATACTACATATAATAGAGCAGTTATAAATAAAAACTTTTTTCCTCATTGTATGAACATAATTGATAAACTTTTTGATCATAGATGAAAATCTTACATAAATTACCGTTAATACTGATAGTGTCAAATTGTTGATGTTCCTAAATAATGAAAAAATAGGTTCAGTCAGCTAACAACATAACTGTAACTACATATTGTAAACACTGGTAAATTCTGGGATCTAATAAGAAGGTATAGAAGTTTCTGAACTGTACAGACCTGCTGCAGCTATCACATTAACACTGGTTATTTCACTAGTCATGTTCAGGCTGTGCAAATTAGTAACTCTCCTTGAAAGGTAGTACTACACATAACAAGGGCACATTTTTGTTTGGATGTAAAATACATCATCAGAAAACAAGTGAAGCTTTACATCATTCTGATACAAAGAATTAAGAATAAAATGGGGAACTGGATGTCACACAACCTCAATTAGACTGCTCCTAGGGCCTAAACACACATAATTGTAAAAGTTTTGCTCCCCTGAACATGTAAAATGTCAAGTACACATCTAATATATGTAAAAATTCATGAAGTGCACATTCGTATAACAAGGGATGCTTGCTAAGAACGTGAAAAGGTACTAAATTAATGAAAAAGAAAGGCTATCAGCATGGAATACAACTTATTAGAGGAGATATTCTACTAGAGACACTGACCCTACAGGTAGATATTGAGTGAAAAAAACATACTGGTAAAGACAAGAAGGAAAAGTATTTTATATGAAAGAAAAAAATATAAGAAAATGTACATAGAAAGTGACAGAGGTAGAAGGACCAAGACACAAAACCATAGAACTTAATGTCTGAGGAGACCTCATGAAATTAGTTTAGTTACAGTAAGCAAAATAAATCTTTCTTTTCACTGCAATGGTTTCCAAAAAGTGCATCAGAAAGTAGTATGATGAAAATCACTCCAAGGAGTGCACCAAGGAGACTGTCAACCTTGCAGTTACCATTTTGATCACCAGGTGGCAGACAAATATTAATAAGGCAAAATGCAGGGTAAATTTAAATTCCTGGGGGTTGGTAGGGGGAGGAATAAGGGATATAGGCAGATGAATGAGAAAATATAAATTTTTAGACATAAGAAAATTAAGATGCTTGTAACATATAAATTTTTTGAAAGTAGGTACAATCTGTACTACTACCTCCATTTTAGAGTTGAGGCAACTGAGATCCAGAAGTGTTACCTTGCTTATCTAAAGCCTACAACAAATCCCCAAGCTTATGTATTTTGCAGCCTAAGAAAAAAATACCTGCGTGAAATAATATGTGAATAAATTAAAGAATAACATAGAATTATAATGGTTACATCTTAAAATGCATGGCAGTTTATAATTCGAAATGAGCTTCAAAAAGTTGTTTTAATTTGTATAGGAAATAACTAAAGTACAGAGTTAAAAGACTTACCCATGATTGATTTGCTTCAGTGTGTTAGCTGCTTTATGTGCTGTATTTTATTTCATTTAAATATCTACTATACAACAAATTTGGTGAACATTTTCTCTACTGTACATATTAGGAAACCAAAAGATTCACAAAGCAAAGTGACTTGGGCAAGACAAGGTAAATCATAAGAGTGTGACTCCAACCCAAGTGTTCTCACTCATGAACAGAACTGTTTTCATCATAACTATCCTAGATAAATAAGTCCAGAGAGACCCAGAAGAAATAAATGTCCAAGAACTAGCCTGAGAAAGGCTAGCTCTAAAAATGGCAAGCTTTAAACGTCATTTTTTAAGGCAGGTGGTAGTTACAGAATAAGGGTGCTAATGTTCCAGGTAGGTGAAATGTCAGGATGAAGAGACAAGAGCTGAACATTCCTTGCCAAAGATGCTGAAAACATACCTGTCGGGGCAAAAACGTAAACTGGAAGATTAACAAGATACCTGATGATTAAGGGCTATTATTATTAGGCTAAGGACACAAAATTTTATACAAGCATCAGAATTACATTCCTTGAGCAGGTGACTGCTCTGTGAGACTAGGTCACTAGCAAAGATTCTGATGTGGCCCTAACACATCCAAGGACCCTTTACCAATTCCCCCAGTCCATAGTGATTTCAGATTCTTTGTCAGTTTTATTCATGTATTTCTCTACCACTCAACTGTCACCTGATATATTCTCCATTATAAAGGCAGTGTTTAATTTTAAGTACATTCCTCTCTTACCAAATCCTTGAGACTAAGAATCATATCTTTTCATTTGTTTTGCTTCTAATATCACTTCCACTTCCACTTAGAATGCAAAACCTGAAAGAGAATGTCACTCCCATCCTAACAATGAGAAAAAGGTGGATAATCTTTTTTTTAAATCATAATTTTTCTTGAACCTATGAGACCTGTGTTGCAAGTCAACCAAGAAAACTGAATTTCATATATTACAGGCTCCTCCAAGGAGAGATGAGAGACAGGATTAATTTCACTCTTGGCAAAGCACAAGGAAAGAGGTAGCTGCCATATAACAGGTAAGAAAAAAATCTGCTAAAATGTTAATGAAGTCTAAAAGGCCAACTATGGGCTAACATGTCAGCTTAGAATAGCTGGGAGTCTCAAAGACAGGGGGAGTTTGCACATGCAAGCTCTTTTCCATATATAAATTCCTGTAATTTTATTTCCAACTGAGGTAACTCTACTACCTGGTGCTCATAAGAAAAATTGGAAGCAGTACAGGAGACTGAAAAGCACTCCCCTTGGTGGTTCAGGGTTGCAGGAGGTGACAGGCTGCACAGGGGCAGGCATGAAGTCCCACTGACTTTTGAGGACATTCATTTATATAAAACAAAAGCCCTGAACTGCTGACAAACTCACTGCCTCCCAAGACTGCTGGGGGAAATGTAGAAGTAAAACCTTTATCTGCCCTAGGGAAGAATAAGAAACCTTCTTAAGCACAGAATCCTATACTGATACCAAGCAGGTCTACTACCACTGGGCAGGGCAGAAAAGCCTCGGCCACCTAAGACCAATCACAGATATAAGGAAGTTTCTCTGCCATGAAAAGAAAGTGGAAGGATGCTAAGAAAGCCCCACTCCTGAGGCACGGGGGCGCATGGCCCACTTAAGATAAGCACAGAAAACACATAAGGCTAGGATCAACTAACTAGTCACAGATGTTAACTGCTGTGGGGGCGGGGTGAAGCATTGAGAGGAAACCCTCTATATAGCTCAGGGGTACCAGGACTGCTGATAGCTCAGAGTGAAGCAAGAACACTGAGAATGTTTTCCAGTACCTTCTTTAGAAGTACTCTACTCTAAGCACAAGATAATAGCAGCCCATTGCAGGTAATGATATCAACAAAATCAAAATCCAGCTCATCTTCCAATGGACTCAGACTCTTAAACAAATAGCATTACAGAAGAAGAGCCTGCCAATTTCTAGGTGTAAACACTTTAACTCTTTCTACCCATTTCTGGGCGTAAATACTGTTTAACTCTTTCTATACATGGGGTCCAGCGTTCAATTAAGAATTACCAGACATGAAAAAGCAAGAAACATAAAGATGGACAACATGCATGAATAGATAGAATGATGGCAGACAAATGGAATCTGTTTTTTTTTAAAAAGTCAAGTGGTAAAAAAAAATTAAATGACGTAAGACATGAAGAATTCTTCTGATGGGCCCATTGGAAGACTAAGGAAAGATTCCGTGATCTTTAAGACAGGTCAATAGAAATTACTCAAAATGAAACACAAAGAAAAAAGAACAGGAAAAACAAAACAAACAAAAAATCAACAAGAAAAAACAAAACACAGCATCCAAGAACTGAGAGATATTAGCAACCAGTCTAATTCATTCTGCTCCCAACACATAGTTGGCATTCATTAATTTTTTTGTGGTATGTTGTTATTAAAGTTGACAGGATATAAACAATATTACTAATGCTTATGAAACTTCCGGTGACTGCTGGAAGAACAAATTCTGTCACTACACTAATTCTAATCTTCACAATAACTCTATGGAAGTGGACATAATTATCAATATTTTATAGATCTGAGGGCTAAGAGGATTAGAGAAGTTAGGAAAGTTATTCAAGTTCACATACCTTCCAAGTGGTAGTACTGTTCTGGTCCTGTTCTCTTATACTACAAAGCCTGGAATCTTTACATTCCCACAGGGGGTCCTTCTATTAAGTGATGAGGGTGATGGTTTGATGTAAAAAAAAAGAGTAAAAATAAACATCAATGAAGTAAAGTCTTTCTGAATTTCTAAATAATGTTCCTTAGTAAGTTAAGAGGAAATAAATGATCTTGAAAACTCTAGATCAGCAGGCCTAGCACAAAGTAGGTGTTCAGAGGAGGTATACAATCTCGAAAGCTGTAAAGCAGCACAACTAGATACTGGTTGTGTTGAACTGAATTAGACAAACTCTCCATTATGGTATGTCCATTCTGTTCACATTGCATTAAATGCATTAAATGCTTATTAATGCTAAGTTGGGGTCTGTTCTACAATTTGACTAAAGAAATCTGCATATTCGATTTTAGAGAGAATATGAGAAACCAGAACTGATCCCTTTACAGAGTGCTTTCACTGAATACAGATTAAGAAGTTTAGTGTCTATCTAAAAGATCCCAGAAACACAGTAGTTTATATTTCATTTCCTCATTGTTAATCAGAAACTACATAAAAACCCGTCCAGTGGCAACACTCTACCAGGCATTCTAAAAGACTGTCTCTCACTGAAGTGTGTTAATAGGTAGAAGGAAGGTCTTGTATTCACAGGAAGTCTCATTATTTAACTGTGTTTATATGTAATATGTCTGTGAACTGTTAATACTTTTAGCCAACTTTAAAAGACAGTTCACATGCCAAGTAATTACATCAATTAAAAAAATTTTTAAATACATTGTTTCATTTATTTTTTTTGGTCTTTAATATTTGGAAATGCAAATTCTACCAAAGACCCTGCAGTAACTTTTCAGGACCAAGAGATTATTGATCAGTGCAAATACAAGTTTTATAAGATTATTAAATAGTATTCTCAAAACAAGTCAGTAACCCTTTGATAAATGGTAAGCTATTTGCAATTTCACTTTTGTTGACACGGTTTCAATATTTCAACATTTAAAAAGGTTTCTTAATACATGACAAGTCTACTGTATTTTCAATAAGACACAGAATTCAGTTCCTCTCACTAACTAATGTGAAGATGACTTTTCTAGCTTGGATAAATAATTTAAAAAGCAGTACTGAAGAAAAGAACCATATTATTTTCAGTCACCTTAGTAAATTATGTTTTCAAAAAAATATATAGCTAAGGATTAAAATATTTTTTAGTAAAATAATTATAGCTGCATTTTATTTCTCAGATTTACCATATTAATATAGAATTAGCATAAATGTGTGAACATGTGGAATCATACAAGAGTAGACAGAGTATAAAAATGCTTCTGGTGTTAAATGAATCAAAGGTCTTAACAGAAATTGCAATTACATTTTGGTCTCAGAATCAAATAATACTAGTTTTCAAAAGAATTTACTATAAATGTCAAAAACACTAATAAAGGCAAAAAGAGAACAGATCTGTGAAATAACTGGTATTATATTCAAATGTTAGAAAAGCCATAAAGAACTTCAGAGAAGGCTGAAAAACATAGTCCTATTTTATAATTAGTATGGGCGCACAGGCCAACTTAAGATATTTATGTATTATTCTAGTGTTTTATGTTAGGAAGACATGGTAGGAAATATAACAATGTGTAGCAGATACAAATCCAGCTCAAATTATAAGATCCTATTATACCCCCATAGTTAGAAATCTATTGACATTTCTGAAAATTCCTTTCTCTTGGGGGACTTTAATAGGCAGCAGCAGTAGCCCTACAAAGAAAAGACTGGTTTTTCCTTTCATCGACACCAGCATTGATCTCTGACAAACTTTAAAGGCAGATCTTTATTCAAAACCAGAAGAAAACTGGCATTTCTTTATCCTAAGATTCTTGGAAAACAATAACAACTTGTCTACAAAAGGTAGGCCCTTTTGGAATAAAAAAAATGTTGTTAATTTAATCAAGACCCCTTATAAACAAAAAAGGTAACAGGGAAAAACAAAGTCAACTAGGACAGAATATAATGAGGAAAAAATATTAATGATGTCATTACTGATGTAAAGTCTAGAATGGTAGTATTCACTAGATTTACTAAATGGAGAAATTAAGTTACTTTGTTTTTGCTTCAAGACATTGTAATAAATGACAGTCATTTCTGGCAATAAATTTGAAGAGTAAAATTATAACATTAAGATGCATGTCAACTTTAAAATGTCTCAAAATATGTACTGAACATGTTCACATAAAAAGATTATCTTCCATTATATGTTATTAATATACCAGGTATTGTTCAGCAGAGCTAAACATTTTAAAAATGAAGTCCAAGCAAGTTATTGAAAGGAAGAGTTGGCTTTGAATTATTTCTTTGATAGAATTATGTTATTGAATAATCTTATGACAATATAAATGTCTCAGTGTGTATTCTGTTGTATATTCTGTTGTGTTTCTAAAAGATACACTACTCTGAAAGGCGTTAAAATTTTTTTGTAACTATCTTCTAAGGAAAGTACTACACAATGTCCACTAGAGGGCACCCTTGTAATCTATAACTGATTTAAAACAAACATTTAATTATAATCAAATTTAACATTTTAGAAATTAGTATTATTTCAACAGAGAAACAAAAGAGAAAAATAACTTTCTTTCACATTAACAATATGGAGGGCATATTTTCCAAAGTGAACTCGAAGGATCAATTTTATAAATTATTGACATTAGTATTAATATAATTAGACTACATATATCCTTGGAACGCAGACTGCTAAAATGTGTTTTCATTTAGGCAGTTTTTTTTTACGGACATGTGTTAAAAGAAGAACATTCACTTAACTTATTTCAAGAGAGTTTATCACTTGAAGTTTTTTCTTTTTTCTTGAGGCAGAGTTTGGCACCATCTCGGCTCACCTCAACCTCTGCCTCTCAGGTTCAAGTGATTCTCCTGTCTCAGCCTCCCGAGTCGTTGGAATTACAGGCATGAGCCACCACGCCCAGCTACTTTTGTATTTTTAGTAGAGATGGGGTTTCTCCATGTTGGCCAGGCTGATCTTGAACTCCCAAACTCAAGTGATCTGCCCACCTCAGCCTCCCAAAGTGCTGGGATTCCAAGCATGAGTGACTGCACCTGGCCTATCCCTTGAAGTTTTATAATGTTTTCTTATTATTTTAACATTTCAGCTTGATAATAGTGTTCTCAATACTGAGCCAAATCAGTGATAAAAATAAAGATTGTCTTGCTTATCATGATTTGATCCAATTATTTGATTATTTTGTAAACGTTTATTTTACAAAATAAAATATTCCTTCCAATTTTCTGCCCCACCCCTACTGCATGTAACAACTATTTTCTCTTTTTGATTTACAATTACTTTTTTTGGTCAAAAGTAAGTGGTTACTTTCCTCTATAAACACTGAGTACACCATTTTGCTCCTGACCAGTAAGGCAAACTATTCAACAGACGGTATTTTTCCAAAGATCCCAACAAGTATACAGTTTTCCTAAATCTATTACATCATCCGAACAAGAAACACTGTATTTAATTACATTCATTTTATTCCCAGAGTCCAGTGAATTAATATGAAGAATAGGTTTCATAAATACAATACTATAAACCACACCCTACTAGGTGCAGACATCCCATCTTTTCTCATGCTTAGGAACTAAGTAATTTAAGACAACGTAAGATACTATCTTTTCTTATAAGTTTCACAGAAAATTTCATCTGTGGCATTTTAAAATATGACATTTATTATATATAAAAATAAACTATTTGGTTGCTCATTTTTTTAAAAAAATGCTAACATATTGAGATTTCTCTTAAGTCCCTATTCAATCAAAATATGACTTTGAAATGCTTTACTTGTAAGTCTCTGCATGCATAAAAGTATATATGACTTCTGAGCATATTTTAAAATATAAAAGTATGTTACTCATCAACTATAAAATGAACTCATAGCTATTGTGCTATGTTCCACAAATCCATTAGAATGTTTTATAAACCATTAAATGCATAAAGATTCAAAAAGACAAAAAGTTTCATTTTTAAGTGTGATATTACCTTGCATAATGGATAAAAATATAAAATCACAAGATTATATTTTATGCTTAAAGCATTCTTATTTGTGCATTCAAAAGATAACTATTTATATCTCAAACTATTAGTCTATATGTGACTATATTAAAAAAGTAAAATAAATGTCCACCAGTTTAATAGTGCTTGGTCTAACAGTAGAAATTATGACTATTAAACATATTTCTATTTATAAACACTGTATTTGGGTAAACATTCCAAGTGAGAGTATTTATCAACAAGCATACTGCTTTGTATCACACTGCAAATGAAAAATAACTTTCCACTCATATTTTCTCATGCTGTTTTTACATAATTAACTGGAGAGGCTGAAAATCTAAAAAGATTGCTATTTGTCCCAGACATGAAATAGTTAAAAGTGGTGTGTGCATGTGGGTGTGTGTGCGCGCGGGCACATGATCGTGTGCCAGGGTTTTAATAGGGCTTAACAACAAAAAGCTTCAGTCCCCCACTTTCCCTAGGTTTTGTTGTGGTGATTTTGCCTTGCTTAGGGCCATCCATCTGTTAATGTTGACTTGTAATACAGCTAAGCTCTCATGCTTGTTCAGTAGCATAGTTGAGGTGTCTGTGAGTCTCATGAAGACACACAGAAACATACACATTATAACTGCTAGACTAAGCCACGCATGGCTAATATGGAGCAATATCTCAGATATATATAAATTTTACATATTATTTAAAGAAATTTCTTATTCTTAGAAAAGAAAATGTTAATAAATGTTTACAAGTAAATATTTTTAAACATAATTTCAGATTATAGACTTATGTTATCTTATATTTTTTCACTAAGTCTCCAGTATTCTATTCTAAAATAAAACTGATGAAAGAAGGTAAGTACGTAGGATTAAGACTGTTCTGCACCATGACCAGTGGTCGTATTCTCAATGGACTCACTGGCCCTGTTTTCAATAAAACCAGAGAAGGATCCTTTCCCTGGAGTCCTGTTAGGCTGGGGCTGCTGTTGGAACTGTCATCTTTACACAGAA